CTCTTGTTTTCTCGATAATTATAATGATCATTAATGCATAATTTGTAGATAATTGCGATGAGGAAAGAGAAGATTATAGAATTTGTTCTGCAAGAAGAACCTCTTATTGTAATACAAAACAAGTTTCTTGTAACTTATATACGGTATCATTATCTTAACTCATTTATTCGACTTTTTAATTTCGTGAAAATGTAAAAGAAACTTGTTAATTTAATAAAATTTCATGGAGAGAAGATGAATACTTTCGAAAACTTGTTAATTTTGTGTTTAAGAATAAGTAAATATATATTATACACTTATTTATTTGTAAACTTGTTAAGTTTGTGTTTAAGAATAAGTAAACAAATTAGACAGACTATCTATTTTATCCATTTACCTCTCTAAATTTCTCGCGTTTGTCGTAGCGGTCGTAGTGCCATGCGAATCCTTTTGTCAACATGATTTCTTATACCATTAAACCATAGGTTCTTTTTATTCTTAGCGAGACAAATGATTATGAGAGAAAATATTAAATGCTAAACTACCTGAACAAAAACTCTATTTGCGTATACATCAACAACTTCTCTTTCATAGGGATCTCTGTCGTATACTGTGAGTTCTAATATTTTCTCGCTAACAATTTTTGTTAGCTCATCCTTTGCTTCTTTCCAAAATGTCATCCCTAACTCAGAAGCAACTATGCCCCTGTTCCTTTTCATGTCAAACTCTTAATTTGTTTGTAATATATTACATAGTTTTTTTATGAACACGAGCGAAAAAATCTTTACCTTAGCCTGAATTTTAACCTCTTACCAAAGTGTTGAATACAATCCAAAGTAGAGATAAAATATAAATAGAAGTGAAAGTAAAACTTTAATAAAAAGTGAATTCAAATCCGTTTTGTAAAATAAGGTGACTCAAAACTCTCTTAATTTGTTTGTAATATATTACATAGTTTTTTTATGAACACGAGCGAAAAAATCTTTACCTTAGCCTGAATTTTAACCTCTTACCAAAGTGTTGAATACAATCCAAAGTAGAGATAAAATATAAATAGAAGTGAAAGTAAAACTTTAATAAAAAGTGAATTCAAATCCGTTTTGTAAAATAAGGTGACTCAAAACTGTTTTAGTAAATAGATATAAATTTTACAAGTTTAAAATTCTAAATACGAAAAATAATCTGCTCTCAAATATAAAAAGAGTAAAGTCTTATCCCAATTTTACTTTATTCTCTTAAAATCCCAATTCATGTTACTCTTTCGAAACCATGCGATATCGGAAGAAAAGAAGGAGAAGGAGAAAGCTAGCTAGAGCTTAACCCAAATACGGTAAGGCTTTGCATGATCATATGGATTACTCTTGTTTTCTCGATAATTATACTGATCAGTAATACATAATTTGTAGATAAATGCGATGAGGAAAGAGAAGATTATAGAACTTGTTCTGCAAGAATAACCTCTTATTGTAATACAAAACAAGTTTCTTGTAACTTATACAGAGTATCATTAACTCGACTTTTTAATTTCGCGAAAATGTAAAAGAAACTTGTTAATTTGATGAAATTTCATTGAGAGAAGATGAATACTTTCGAACACTTGTTTAGTTTGTGTTTAAAAATAAGTAAATATATATTTACACTTAATTGTTTGTAAACTTGTTAAGTTTGTGTTTAAGAATAAGTAAACAAATTAGACAGACTATCTATTTTATCCATTTACCTCTCTAAATTTCTTGTATTTGTCGTAGTGGTTGTAGTGCCACGCGAAACCTCTCGTCAACATGAATTCTTATATCATTAAACTATATGTTCTTTTTATTCTTAGCGAGACAAATGATTATGAGAGAAAATATTAAATGCTAAACTACCTGAACATAAACTACATTTGCGTATACATCGACAACCTCTCTTTCATAGGTTCTTTGTCGTATATGTTTTTTGGTTAATTCAAAGATATTTATCTTGCCAAGAGTGGCTGGTGCAACTGGTAAGTGGATATGCGTAAAGAGTGCTCCACCCCAGGTTCGAACCCCACCCTTGGCAAATCACATATTATCAAAAAAAAGATATTTATCTTATATACGTTTTTTTAATATGTTAGAAAAAATACATTGTTTCTATGATATTTTTGATATATTGATTTATCTGAAAATATTAAACTAGATTTCACGGAATCTATAGCGGAGCCGAATACTCTCTAAGTGATGGTTTACACTGTATTACAATCATGTACTTTTTGAATAATTTTTTTTAATTGTATTATTTGAGATAATTAATAAAAATTAATTAAATATGATATATTGATAATAGAGATCTCAACTTTACATGAATAAAAGGTTTCTCTTGAGTACTCTAAAAACCATATGATCTCGAAATTGTTTCGGTTAATATGGTGATCGTGCATTCTATTCATTTGTAATACTGAAATGATATCCAAAGATGAAAAAAAAAAGTTGTATTGATATCATTTGTTAGCAATAGAATATATTTTTTAAATCTTTTTTGAGGAACGGTGAAATCATATACGATTATATAATCTTGTTTCCTTTTTATTAAGATTTTAGTGAGATGTGTAAAAGTAATCATTTGAAGTCACATATAAAATTACAAGGATCCTAAAACAAAGTGTGAAAAAATATATATAAAGTCCATCTAATTTAATAATATATGATTGTATTCAAAACTTATTTAAAATTTATTGAAAATATTTTAAATAAAATTAAGAATATCATTTGTAAAGAAACTAGTGAAAAAAAATTACAAACAAAAGTGAAGTATGAAAACTGAATTCAAATCTAATTTTAAAAAAGGAACCGAATCAAACCTAATATAAAAAATAAATAGATATGAATTTTATAAAATTAAAAAGTCTGAATAATAAAAATAATCTAATCCAACTATAACTGAAATCTGAAGTAAATTTATGTGAAAATATATCTAAGAGAATTGAAAAAACAAAGAGAAATGATAAGACCGTGATAGAAAAATAAAAACTAAAAAATTGGACAATGAATAATAAAAAATAAAATTATGTCCTTACGTGACTCAAAGCCAACTTGAACATCCTCTGCAAGTCCCTTATTAATTAAAAGAAAAAAAACAGAAAAAAATACAAAATTTGAAAAGAGAAAAACAGCAAGACCAAAAATAAAAATGAAAAAAAAAAGAACAACAGAAGAAAGAACCACAAGATTTGATTCATGAAGTCTTAAAAAAAGCTGCAATCAATCTTTGTGGTTCAAGCAAGCCAGTCCCCATCCATTCCTTCAATCTCTCCAATTTCCATACTGTAATTATCACCAAAAAAATTACTTAATTAAAAATCAACGCATCACAAATTACTACCGTTTTGATTAAACATAAGATGCATATTTGGTAGAATAACAATCATTTGGAATCAATAAAGAGGGTACGAACAAAAATATGTTAATAATAAGTAGGTCCAATTCTATGTAAGAACAGAAATATTATTGCCACAGAACTATAATTCCAATTAGAAATACCCATTAAAAGAAAAGTCACATCCTTATATATTATTGTTTATTATTAAAAGAAGACGAAGAAGAATAAGAAAAGAGAGGCATATGGCATTAGACACCGTTCGGACAGTTGAGAGAAATAGGATAAGGACAGTGTGTTTCTAGATGTCGGAGAGAGATTATTGTCATTGGACCGAAATCATGCAAACTCTATGTGGATCCTTCTCAAACCACGTATTTCCTTGATCGTCTAATGCATAATTTAATCCGTAATTCACACAACCACATAAAAAAAAGTAGTTTCTGGGTTCTGCAACAATCACTGAAGCTCATGCAGCAGCAGGTTTCAGACAACGACGAGAAACCGCCGCCATTTTTGCCGGCGCTAATCTCGGAGGAGGAGCTAAGGAACGATACCCAGATGCAAATTTTTATGATTTATGTAATAATTCGAGACCGAGATCGAGAGATCGGATGAATTTTTTGTTCTTACCAGGACAAAGCAGGATCGTCAGGCGAAGAGTAATCGCTGAGATAAGGTTCCTCTGTTGGGTTCAACCAAGAGGGGAACTCCATGACGTCGCCGAATGGTCGGCAGACGTCATCATCGATCTCCGGCTTCATCTCCGGCGGCTCCACCGTCTTCATAAACTCGAACCACCAAGCTGACGTCACCAGGTTGACCGTGTCGTTCCACTCGATCTGGTGCTTCTCCCCGATCGATCTCATCCTCGCCATCTCTTCCTCGTCCACCGTCTGGTGAAAACCGGCGTCTCCTCCTCCTCCTCCGGCGACGGCGGCAGTGGAGGACGACGACGGAGGAGGTGGAGAGGAGGAGGGCGGTGAAGAAAAGATTGGTGGGTTGTTGTTGATGCTGACGCTGTTGCTGTTGTTGGTGCAAATCGATGATGACGATGATGGCGAGGTTTGGATTATGTCGTTGAAATCTTGGAAATTGAGGTTTAGGCCTAAGGGTTGATTAGGGAGGACGAAATTGAGAGGTGGGTTCGTCGTCGGAATCTGCCATGGAAATGGATCAGGAGGTTGCGGGGGAGGAGGAGGATGGACACAGTACGGAAACGGGTCCATAACACACTCAGAGCTCGGTCTTGGTCTCGATTCTCCCTCACTCAGCAACAGCGTCTGCGTCTGCGTCTGCGTCTGTTGACGCTGACGCTGCTTCATGGCGGCGCGGTGCTGTTTCAGAGCGGTGACGATCTCTCGCCGCGCCTCCGCCATGTTCAGTAGCCGCTCCTGGTACGGACGGCTGGTGTGCAAGCGCCTCCTCACCTGCTTCTTCTGCGTCTGCGGTTGCATATGCGTTTTGCCGGTAGATTTCTTAGAATTCTCGGTGGTTTTCTCTCGAGGGTTCATGGCGGAATCGCTGTCTTTGGTTCTTGAAGAAGCAAGTTGCTTCACTAGGGTTCTGATATAAGTACCTGAGATTCTTGATTCTTGCTTCTCGTTGCTGATAGTTACCATTTCTCTGTGAAGGAATCTCTTCAAGAACAGTGATGATGATGATGATGTTGGGTTTGATTCATATTCTTTTTTTGCGTTTAATTAGGGTTTTTGCTCTTGAATGATGTTTTTTTTTTTCCAGATAAGTAAAGAGAACTGGTCGATGATGATGATGCAGGGGGACGAAGCAAAGGCTCGTGGGTTATATAAATACTCTGCCATTACTTCACTTTAATTTTTATTTTTAAAAACCATTTTTTTATATAAATATTTTTCCATTTTCGGCAAATTACAAATGTTTCCATTTTCATTAACCTTTGTTGTAAATGTGTCAGTTTGGTGGTATCTTATAAATTACTATAATACCCTTTGTCTATGCTCAAGGAGATTAAATAATGGAGTTTAAACAATTTTTTTGCGCAAAAGTTTTTTTTCTGGATATTTTATTTGGAATGGTTCGAATACTTTTCAAAAAGGGGATTGTGAAACAATTTTTTTTTCTAATTTTGCATGTTTATGTACATCATCAACGATACCAAAATATTGATATTTATAAATTTTGAAAATTTAGAAAAAAATATTTCGAATTCCATATTTTCCCCTTAATCTTGTACCTATCCCTAAAAGGTTCTAGTAAAATCATCAAAACCTTCTCCTTATCCAATAAAAAAAATGATGGTCTCTTAGTCTCATTTTAATTAGCTTGTGATTTTTTTTTTGTTTGGAGTGGACAAAAAAAATATTAAAAATTGAAGTAATTCAAGGGAAGGGTATTTTGGGATTAAAAAATAATCCATGTATGACTATTCTGGTGCCTTTGTCTGCAAGTACAGTGGGACCTGCCTACGTGAATAATAATTATAATAATATCTAATAAACCCACCAATTTATTTCTTTTTTATTTATTTTGGACTGACAGAAGAATCTCTAATCTTTTTTTTTTTTTTTTGTTATAGCCGTAAGCTCTTTGTGCAATGAATATTCTTCTTAGTAATAGAAACCTCCGTTATAAACTCAACGATTGAAATGTGTTCAGTTATTTTTTTAATAATATTCAGCCAAATGATTAGATTGTCCGCAAAATCTTAAGCATAGTTTAAAAAAAAAATACATATTTGAAGCAGTGATGATAACAATATAGACAATTTATATATGTTATAGTAGAATTTATATATTTTTTATATTTTTATCAGAGTTAGTATTTTTATTTATATCATTAAACTAAGATTTATCATCTCTATATATTATACACTAAATTTTGTATGACAAAAGATCTCAATAGCATTTTATTTAAATATTGATTATAATGTCACAAGTTGTTTTCCAACGATATATTGTAATAAATTTCCTATATTCTCTGGCTATTATATATGCATTAGACATAAGGTAGAGAGTTGACCTATTGTCTACAATATTTAATGGTAGTTGTTTTCCATTTTCTAAACATCTTTACGTTATTTCTATGTTTTGAGTTTATATATTCGAATTGACGATCGTTGAATGATGTTTGAGTGATGTGTTATTGGAATGGGCTTAGCGTATAACAAGTATATTCTTATTAGATATGTACATATATAGGTATTATAATAACTAATCATGATCCATGCAAAACTAAACTATATCCACACATGCATCTATACACACACACACACATATATATATATACGTGTGTATATACATATGTAGAAATGTAGTTTTGTGCAATACAAAGAATCGTGTGATATAAGAGAGAGAGAGAGAGAGAGAGAGAGAGAGAGAGAGAGAGAGTTGCAATGATAGCATCATGCAGTTTCCGTTGAGAAGGCAATTTGGGATATGGAAAATGATGTGTGAGAGAGAGAGAGAGACTTGAATTCCAAAGAAACCCCGAATTTGGACTCATTTTCTCCACTCTCCCTGCTTGCCTGCGGACACAATTCCTCCATACCCATTATTATTATTATTAACTATATATATATATATATATATTAATATATTAATATATATATATATATATGTAAAAGAGTCATTTTCACATTGCTATATCAATATATATATGTGTGTGTGTGTGTGTTTCTTACCCAAACAGGAAGTAACAGAGACAGAGGCATGGCTTCTGTTTTCCCTTCTCTCTTTGTTTTTTTTTCCTCTCTTCAGCAGAGTTTTCAGACACAAACAGTGAATGTGAAAAAATAATTTCTAACGAAACTTATCTCTGCACTATTAAATACGAAAATATCACTTAAAAAGCTTTTTTCATTTAATTTTTTTCTTTTATTTTGACTGTAAATACATTCATCTATCTATATATATATATATGGCTAACTCGATTTATTATGTAAGAGAGATCATTAGCTATTTGGATTTCGACGATATTTATTCGGATTCAATTGATTAGTTGGACCGAATATTTAAATAATCCCGCTATTAATTAATTATAAAATCCCCATTCGCGTTGGGATTTATTTTCAAATTAAAATATAAGAGACAAATTAACCTAAAACTTTGTTTTGTTATTACCGTGGTGGAAAAAAATATATCAGAAAATAAAACTGCGATATGAATAGTTTGTATTACGCTGTAACTGTTTGCTGTGTGGGTTATAAGATAAGGTTTAGCCATAATAAATATTTTATTTTTATTTTATTTTTTTCCAATATGCTGACACTTTATGATCACTTGTAGGAAGTGTTGTGTGCATGGGGAGCAAGTGTATTGATTTTCACCTTTCATATATTATGAATTGATCTTCTTTTATTTTTGCAACTTAATAATAAAATAAAATAATTGTCGAGTCAAATCACATTTGGATTATAAAAGCGTAACAATCATTAAGGGATTCGAGACATGCATTGACACTAACATACGACCAACATAAAAACACATCATTTAAAAGTTATATTTTTCAAATAAAATATATACCCTTTTTTATATGTAATTTACCCTAAAAATATCAGATAGTTTTTTTATAAGAAAATATTGGAAAGCTAACTAAGTAAATTACCATGCATCTACAAATATGGAATATATAGATGAGCATGGAAATCAGTTCTATTTTTATATGAGAAAAAAAAATAAAAAATAAACATCCCATCTTTATTTTTTTTTAACAATTGTGTGGTAACGAGAATATTACCCAAAAATATATATTGAGGAAATGGAGACTGAAAGTTCCAAAATTCAAATTGCACGATTTCCAATTATTAGTGTTGACATTATTTGCTTTTTTTGACACCATAAGATAAATAATGGAAACGTTTTCAACATTCATCTTACTGTTTGATTATATATATATATATAATCTATAACCATTCCGTCCACCATATATATATAATATGATTGCTAAAAATAATTGAACATCCAACGTTTGTAACCATATCATATGGAGAGGAACGAAACGTCTTCAAAATGCAACATGTGGTTTGATACCAAAAGGCTAACCGCTACAATAAAACCATAACCACCTACAGATACACATGGTTGAATAAAGTATACGAAATATCCAAAATTCGTTGCATGAGTATTTTGGTTGGAATCCATACAATTGAATTGGATTTAATCGATTAATACATAATTATGTTTGAATATATTTTGTGTTTGAAAATTGATTGAATATAATTTTTTTAAGTAAAATTAATAAAAATTGAATGGAATATAAAATAAACTGGAAAATTAAGAAACTAAATTTTTTATACCAAAATAATATATTTTTAATAAAAACTTAATTCTCCTAATAAAATACCAAAACAATGCTCATTCACAACCATCGCTCCACGACCATCCAACACAAAAATTTTATTATGCATTTTTTTACAATTTTTTAATTCTATTTCTAGAAACAACAATGGATATTAATAGTTATGTCATAATATTTTAAATAAAAAAAGGGGCAACGATTAATAAAGAGGGTGGTCATGCGAGTCAATAACTACTGCGGAAAAGATAAAGATGAACTTCTCCGCCTTCTTCCATTTTAGTTACGTTTTTTACATTTATTTATTTTTAAAATTTCAGACGTCTAATATGGCGATGGACTTCATGTCCCATAGTCATATATTTAGGCGGTCCTCATGGACCACCTTCTGAATTTACATTGACTCCTATATTCACATTTTGTGTTTAAAAGATTTTAGTGAAAAATTTTATATATAAAACTATTGGATAAAAAAAGTTATGTTCGAATCTATTGTTTTATAATATTCCCGTTTAATTAGATAACATTACTATAATTAATAGGATAATATTATACATTTGCATGGTTAGAATTGTCCGCGTTCACTTTACAAGTCTAAGGTTTTAATTCTAAACCCAACGTTCTTTTTTTCGAACTAAATATATATATAATTTTATATAATAATTAAAAATTCGAATTTTAAAAATACCCAAACAAAACATAACCTAAACAACCAAATATATATGCATGCATGTATGTATGTATGTATGTATGTATGTATGTATGTATGTATGTATGTATGTATGTATGTATGTATGTATGTATGTATGTATGTATGAGTAAATGGGAGGAAGATTTATGAACTTTCAAAGTTAACTTGGTCCAATATGGTACTCAAAAGTGATACAAGAAAGAAAAATCAAAATCAACATTTTGAAAATACAACATAGTTAAACTATAAGATGTGTTGAACGTACGTTGCCGTCTTTGGATGAACCCATGACGTATCGTTCGTTTTTTAATTAAAATATTTATGTAATAAATAAATATTCGAAATGTAGGAAGTTTCTCCGAAACAAATAGATTTACTTCGAAAATAGATAAATAAAATAAATAATAAAGCGAAAGATAAAACAGATAAAGACGAGAGATGTGAAATGGATAAAGGTTCATATGCTACATAAATACATTTTCAGTTTTATTTCATTTTCATATATTTTTTTTCTCAGAGAACCCACCAATTCCACCAATCTCAGACTTCTGCGTTGGATTCCGTTCACACTAACGCCAAAGTTATAATTTCGTTCAGATTCTAATTATTAAATTTTTGTATGAATATCTAAGTTTTTCTATATTACGTTTACACTGATTCATCGGTTTTAATTATAATATTATAATTGTATAAGTGCTAAAAAATGTCTTGCATATTAAATTGTATACTATTTTTGAAAATATCTCTATAATTAACTATTAGCAAATAAAATTGATATCCTAGATTTAAATTATTTTTGATGCAACAATATATTGATTTATAATTTTAAAATTTGAAAAATATGAGTTTTGTAAAATAATTTCTTTTCGTTCGTTTTTAACGTATTTTCATGTTCACTACATCGTTAATTGGTATAAAAAAATTCAAAAGCAATTTGTTTTAAGTAAAATGTAATTTATATATACTTAAAAATATGATTATATCCGTTTCAGTTTTAAATATCGAATTCCACTCTGCGGCACGAGTTTTGGTATGCCGTAACATGTGTATGAGTTCGGTAAATTTAAACAACTTGGTTGCAAAAAAAAAAGTCCGGTTAAAATCTTATTATAATTAAATAGAATCATAATAAATATATCGTTACTCAAGATTAAAATCTTTAGATTAGGTAAAAGTAGATCGGTCTCTATTCCTCTACCTAGATATTGGACCGTCTTAATTGGGTAGTTACTGTTCGGGGGTAAGATTGGAGTGAAAACAAATTACGGGGGTAAAAAAGCAAACATATGGGTGAGTGGGACCCACATGAGGGACGTGAAGCGACGCGTCACAATCGAACGGCCATCGTCCACTTGCGGAGGTCCCCTGAGACAAGTGGCTGCCACGTGGGCCGACCCTTTAAGATCCAATCAGAGCCTAACTGCCACGTGAGCCTTTCGCCACCTCATCCGCGTTTCCCACCGCCGTAAAAGTGATTTCATTTATTATTCCGACCTCTCTCTCAAATAAAAATAAAAAATATTATAAGAAATCGATATGATATAATCTCTAAATTGGAATATTTATTTTTTGACGGTAAGAATTTAATCGTAAGATTAACTGTAAAGCGTCCGTCGTCGGATTTACCTACGGTAAAAAAAATTAACTCTCAGACGTGAGATAAAGAAATATGGAAATGTCGGTGATAATTGGACATATAAAATTAAATAAATTTGGATCAGGGTTAAGTTCGTCTTCCATGCCATTCGTCTTGTCCCTCGATTTCAATCTTTTGCATTCGTCGATCAGATTACGGATATTTGATACGTATTTAATTTGATCGAGATATTTAAATTTATTTATTCGTTCTGTTGTTATTAATTTATGTAAATGATTTTAAGGTTGTGATTAAAAATATCCGAACTAAAACTTTTTTTATAAAGTTTTTTTTTGATAATTTTTCATCATTCAAATACCCCATAAAATTGAATATTTTAAATTTATTTCCTTTCCAAACCGACCGTTTATTTCTGACTTGTTTGATTTAAAGTAAAAATAAAATGAAAATAACTCGCATGTTTTACAAAAAAAATACAAATAAAACTTTTAATGGATGTGCGTGGGGGGGGGGAGAGAGATTTATAAAGCCAATTAAATTTTGGAATTGAAAATGGAAATGGGCAGTGGTACAAACTACAAAGCACAGAGAGAGATTCATTATAAACCCTAATTTATATTTATGATATAAGTAGGAAAAAAATACACGTTAATTTCAAAAGTTTGAATTAATATCAATCTTTATAATAGAGAAAGGAGTCGTCCCTTTCCGTAATAAGTGGGGGATCATCGACACTGTCATCTTCCTCATCCATCTGCCACCAACAACATCAGTAGATATATATACATATATATATATATATATATATGTTTATGAGTAAATAAGATAATTAATAAATATCCTATTTATCATCTCTATATTCATTTTTTTTATTTCTTTTCAAGTGTTGTTTTTATTTATTTGTGTTTTTAGGTTTTTTTTGGTAAAAGCTTTTGATTTTGATGATAATATTTATTTCGTCATTATTCTTTGGTTCTTGAAGCTTTTTCGTAACGGACGAAGAATCTCAACACACTTTATAACGGATCAAGATGTCACCATTAAGTTTCGATACTAAAGATAGAATTGGACCGACGTATTCAAACTGCATCTCGTCTAAAAAACCAAAATAAAACAATTGGAAATTAGAACATTTTCTGAATTCAGAAAAAAAAATATAAAACCATCGAAACAAACTTTGAAATAAAAATAAATTTAATTTTTTTCTCTAAAATTTTCAACATCTGAAAAGTAAAACAATGAGGCCGAAACCGATATCTACGTCTTTCATGATGCCACCAACATCAGTAGATATATATATATACATATATATATATATATATATATATATGTTTATGAGTAAATAAGATAATTAATAAATATCCTATTTCATCTCTAAATTCATTTTTTTTAATTTCTTTTCAAGTGTTATTTTTATTTATGTATTTTTTAGGTTTTTTTTTGGGTAAATATGTTTTTTTATAAGTAAAATTTTGATTACTAAACTATAAGGGCCGAAAAATATCATTGGTTATTTATGAACGTCTAATTACTTTTGTAATGTATTATTTCGTATATTATGATTATTTTTTATGATAACAAAATGGTCAAGATGGCATTTCATTGTGTAATAATATGAACAACAGAGAAAATGTTGTTTACATTGAATTAGGTATTATATAATTAGATTCTATTTGGTTTTATATATTTAAGTTAAAATAATCATCTAAATAAGTAAACAATGAATTTGTGATATGTATTTAAATCGCTCGTTTTGTTATATATGATTTTTGTCAAAATGACTTTCGGCAGTGAGGCCTTGAAATACCCAATGGGCCCTTTCACTTACCCAAACCCCACAAAGGGGGAAAACAACAAAAAAGGTCAAAAGCGTCAAACAATAGTCAAAATTTAGTCATCGTTTCGTTTCCACATTTTTTTTCTGTTGCCTTTTCTTCCCCAGAAAGCCATAACGACCTCAGTCCCCGCTCTCTTCTTCGTCTTCTCCATTCTTCAGCGCGCAGATCATGTCTTCGAAAGATCATCCAGACGAAGAAAAATCTGTGGAGCCATCTGATATGGCCGTTGATGCGGTAAAGCTCTTTTTCCTTCTTGCAATGGTTTTGTTTCTCCGATCGCTGGAGCTGTTTCGTCGTAGCTATTTCTGTTCAGGAATTTTTCGAGTTTAATCGCTGACCTTAGTTCGTTTCGTCTCTGGTTGATCACGTCCAATGCTCGGCTTTTGATTTTTGGATTTTCTGAACTGATCTTGTTGCTTATATTTTCTTCGTGATGTTTGGTTCTCGAATGTTTTTTACGTAATCGTTGGTGATAGAGGCTGAGAAATGGCTGATTATTCATCTGATTTCGCCATCCCAGTTTTTGCTTTTAGGTTTAGTGGTCTTTGACGATCTGACGCACGCCTTATTGCTGTCATATTTTGTGGAATGTGTTTGATAAAGATTCTGCTCTTTGGACTCTCGTTACCTGTTTCCGTTCTGGTTTATCGACTGTAGCAGGTCGACGACATTGCAGATACTGAAATGTTACAACCTACTGCGGAGTTTGGGGGTCTGCAATTAACAGAAGGTAAACTCTGCTTACATGATAAGTACATGGATTTCACCTGATAACTATTTTCCTCGTTACCTTTCAGATGAATTGCAACCTGAAACTTCCGGAGCTGCAAATCAGACAGTCATTTACAACTGGGAGATTAGAAATTTTAGTCAGCTGGGTCCAGAGAAGGTCAAGTCGGAGTCGTTTTCAGCTGGCGATGTGAAATGGTGATTGTAGCAAATCTTTTATTATCTGATATCGATGGAAAATGGTTTACTGTCTTCATATACTTTGTTGTTTTCAGGAAAATTCTTCTATTCCCTAAAGGGGATGGAACAGACCACTTGTCTCTGTATCTGGAATCTGAAAATACAAAGAGATTTCGATGTTTAGATTTTCGACTGACTGTGATCAATCAAATTGCCATCCTTAGATCGGCGGTGCGAGGTAGTTAATTACTTTTCTCTATGGTTTCTCTGTATGCGATCTACGAAGCAAATCATTACTGTATATTCATATAAGTGTACATTTCTTGCTCCTATATATGCCATTTTTATCAGAGTCCATGAACCAGAGAGAAAATGGCCCACTTAAATCATTGATAATTGCTTTGCTGGAGCTCTCTGTTTCAGTATCTGGGTTCAATATGAAGAGCTAAATTCTGATTTTTTTGGCCATACTTGATTGCTAAATGTAAGAAAAGAATTTTCCATACATCTGATAAGTTTGTTTGTAATAAATAATGGTCTAGTTCGTTTGCTCCCTGGCGGCTCTCAAGCAAATCATTTACTTTCAAAGATTTTAGGAACTTATATTTGCTGTTGAATATCACAAGTTGTTCTAGTTTGTCTGTGGTTTTCATGCAATCAATTTGTCCCTTTTTTTAAACTAATCCTCATCTCTTTGATATACTACTGTTGATGAATATTCCTTTTGAAATCTATCACTAAGTTTGTGTTTGTATAACTTTTTCTGCTTCACAGAATTAATAGGCGAAACCATTAGAGATAGATGCTTGGGTTTCAAATGCTTTATGCCTCTCGGTGCACTGCTTGATCCCGCACGAGATTTTCTTGTGGATGACATTCTGAAAGTCAAAGCAGAGGTCGTTAGCTGCAAAAAAGAAGAAGATTCTTGTGACATGGAAAAGGAGAATGGTTGTGAGGAGAACGAGGTAAATTCGGGTCATGCAACAAAGGAGGATCCTGATGAGAGGATCAAGAAAGGAGGAGGAATAAATGACTCAGGAAAGGATTCTGGGTATCTGGGTATGGGGAATCTAGGAGCTGAGCATCATGATAAGAAAAAGAATAGCAGCTATCTGGGAATCAAGAATCAGGGAGTTACTTGTTATATGAACTCTGTCATCCAAACTCTCTATCACATTCCTTCTTTTAGAAAGGTCGGATATATTCATAAGGTCTTTTCCTTTCTAAATCCTTAACTTGTTTTTTAAATGCTAATGTTTCTTGTCCAACTCAGGCTGTATATAAAATTCCCACGACAAAAGATGAGAAGCCGTCGGAAAGCACCCCACTTGCATTGCAGAGATTATTTTACAATCTACAGTTTGGTAAAACCTACGCTTGTACTATGGAGCTAGCGAAATCTTTTGGATCAAGATGGCAATCTTTTATGATGCAAGACGTAAGCGAGTTTCGCAGATTCTTGTCTTCACAACTTAAAGAGAACATGAAGGTTCACTACTTGAAACTGGGTTCTACATGGTTTCAGCTAATGCATAACATAAATTAGTTTCTTACACTTTTAATGTAAATATAGAGGAGATCACGCAATGTCCTAGAAGAGCTGTTCGAAGTGCGCTACCTGGAAGCCATAGAATGTCTTTTTGTGGACTATAAATCAACAACACTGGGCAAAGCTTACGGTGTTCTGTTTCTGACTTGTAATAAGTGTTAAATGTCTTACTATTTCACCATCTGTGACTTGCTAATATAATTACATCTGATCATGACAGAGCTCATTCTTCCTGTTAAAGATAGTTCTGGGGTTTATGCTACCTTTGATGATATGGTGAGGCCTCAGCCACTTGATGTGAAGTATCAGGCAGGAACCTTGTTTGGAAGGCAGGTACGTTAGAAATTCACTTCCACCACCTGAACTGTTGATTGTTTGTCTTGGTCTTGGTGGTAGCATTTTTGGTGAAAGTAGTGAGGTGCATATAGGAATTCGCCTAATAACCAATGTGGTAGCACTAGTGTGTTCCACTTAAATGAGTTTCAAAGAGGCTTAAGATCAGCTTCCCACCTCTGGATATAATTAAAACGTGTTATTCATCAGTTTCTTAACTATTGAGATAAATCTGTCATTTTTACAGGAAGCTCAAAGAATTATGAAGTTCACTCATTTACCTCCTGTTCTCCAACTTGAATTAAAGCGGTTTACTCACGGTGAAAACGGAAATACACATAAGGTAAGATAAACATGGTGATTGTCTTGTGGATTCAAATAAATGTGTGTGTGATATACACACACACACATACCTGAATTTGTCTAGTTGGGACAGAAGTTTGAGGTGCAGTTTAATGCTTCAAATGACTTCAATACTGAGGGTGGTGCTTCTTTCATCATGTAGATTAATGACTACTATGAGTTCCCTTTAGAACTTGACCTTGATCGATGTGATGGCAACTATCTTGCACCTGAAGCGGACAAGAATATTCACAATCGTTACATACTTCACAGGTAATTTGATTCAGTTACTACGCTTCCTGGATGTCCTAGTGAGACTATCTTTGCAATTCGATTGCCAAATGACTTAGGTATTGTTTATATGAAAAACACATACAAGACTTCTAGATGTGTTCCCCCTCTCTCTTAATGAATAGTATATTTGATTGAATTTCTTATACCTATACTACCATCTTGATTTCTTGTCTCTGTGTTGCTTATATTGGCGATACAGTGATATTTGGAACTTTAAAAATACTGACGAAGATAGTTTGTTTCAGCGTTTTGGCTCACATTGGTGATATGAATGTTGGACACTATTATGCATTTATCAGACCTACACTCTGTGATGAATGGTACAAATGGTTCCTAATACCTCTTGTTCTATACTGTTCATCGTCTTTGATAAGTCTACAATCTGTATTTGGTGTGGGAATATCACATACAAAAATGTAACAATCTTGTTAGGTACAAGTTTAATGATGAAACTGTAACTAAAGAAGATGGCCGGAACGCAATAGAGGGCCTATTTGGTGGCAATAACAAGGTATTCTCCACTTCTTGTAATCTTACACTCATCTCCTTGTTCTTCGGCACTTAATGCTGATGTGTTCTAATTGTGTGATCTATAGGGAATTACAGTAGCAAATGCTTATATGCTCGTGTATGTTCGTGAGGATGATAAGGATAAAGTAATGTGCAGTGTGGGTAAGGAGGATATCCGTCAGCATCTAGAGGTAACTTCTCTGAACATAAACTAGTTTCAAATTCCATATCAGAATATTTGGATCAAAACTCAAAGAGGAATAGGTTCTAGGTTAATATCTTTGAGACAGTTTATTTTCTCGACGAATGTCGTCAGACTTTCTGATTCTGTTATTACCCTAACTGGAAATTGCTTTGGCGGAGCACTAAAATGGAAAATTGGATTCTGTTTTCCAGGACAGATTTTTGGAAGAACAGACTAAAGCTAACCGGGTAGCAAAACAATTAGATTATGAAGATCAAGTAGAGGTGAGGATTAGAATCAAGACCTAGACTAAAGCCTCTCGACTTATCTTTCCTAAACTGCTGCCTAGAGGTGATATCCTTTCTTAAGATTTTTTTTGTACGATAGGCTGTGCACTTCCGATCTGTAGCAGAATCTCGAGATGAATTTACTCTATATTTGTAAGTTTAAAGTGTTTCCTATCCTTCTCTAAAAAATTTACTTCTGTTTTATGACTATTAATCTGATTGGTGTTTTATTGCTCATGAATGCAAAGGAGCCTTTCTCTTTCATACGATGCTGTTGTCGGAAGAGTTGCTCAGTATCTTGGGGTGGATGATCATTCTAAAATCCAGCTAACGTGTCACGACGTTCACACTCAGAAACCTAATTTTGATCCTATTCGGCCAAGCATTGCATTTAATCTACATAAAATGCTGCACCTCAGCAATGAGGTAAATCATGTATGTATAGCCACCACTGGTTCAGTCCCAGAGTGAACTGCAGAAAAAACATATCTCTGGTGCAATCATTTCTTGTCTTCATTTTGACAGTTTTCGAATATTCTTTATTACAAATTGCTGGCTGTCCCTTCGGAAGAAGCCGAAGGCTTCAAAACACTCATAATAAAGTTTCACCTTCCTGCTATAATGGATAAAGTGAGTAATATACTGATCATATTTTAGTGCTTCAGTTACATTGCAGCCAATTTCGGTTTGGAATTATGACTGGGTTATATAGGTTGAATGTCAGGTAGAGCCACATACCATGAGCATGCGAAAATCGGGCACTGTCAATGATTTGCTCGCCGATCTGAAATCCATGGTAATTAGCGAATAATTCACTTCATGTAAGCGTTTTTGCTATAAATCATTGCTTTGTTCATCTTACTGTAACTGTTTTCTATATTTCTGATAACAGGTCGATTTGTCTTGTCCGGAAGCAAAGCTTCGGATGTTCGAAGTTTTCTGCCACAAAATTTACAAGGTTTACATCTCAATTAACTTGTCTTCCTATTCCATTTTCTATTTTTTCACAGCTTGGTGGTGATATGTGCCATGTAGGTTTTCTCTCCCGAGGAAAAGATTGCTGACATAAACGACCAGTATATGACACTCCGAGCAGAAGAGGTGTTATTCCGTCACTCTTAAACTGAAGTTGTCGAAACATTTGGTTAGTCGTTGTGGTAACATGGAAGTTGTAGATTTCTCTCAAAGTTTGGACACTTGCCATTTCATGACACAGGTTTCAGAAGAAGAGCAGAACCTTGGTCCAAAGGATCGCCTGATTCGTGTATACAACTTTAAGGATGCAAAGGTAACATATTCTTCTTATGCCCAAGAATGCCTCGAGTTCATAATTTCTCAATTCTCTAAGAGTTACTGTAGTAGTAATTCTCACTGCTACTATACACACTGTGTTTTTTTTCCGCAGCAAGTAAAGGTGTTTGGAGACCCCTTTCTCTTGGCGATTCACGAAGAAGAAAGATTCGCAGACATCAAACCACGATTGAAGAAGAAAGCAGCTGTATCAGATCCAGTATTTGCCAAAGTATGTTATATCCTTCCTTCTCTAGGTTTTTAGTAGATCCAAAGGTTCAAAGAAAGATTTATTTGATTTGAACCATATGCATATCTACATGAGCTTATAAAAATCGATTACACTGGCTTGGACTCAGTGGAAATTCGCGTTCCTTGGACTCGGTAACCCAGAATATCTCGACGATTCCGACGTTCTTATCCGCTACTTTGAGGTCAGTAGTTAAAATTCTTTGCCTGTCTTCATCTCCTCTTGTGGCGATGTCTTAAGTCATGCCGTCTATATCAATATCCTTCTTTCGATGCAGCAAGAGGAGAAGGATACTTCAGTTGCCTGGCAACCGTTTCTCGGAATACATCACCCTGACGATTCCTCAATGGATGTTGATTAACCGGTGAGAACCCTTCAAAGGCTCTGGTTTATGTCTCGCAACTACCGGAAAAAAACAGTTCACGACTCCATCTATGATCTTTTTCGCAGAATTCGGAGCACTCTCTAGTACGAGGATTCGGAATCACAATCTATGTGAGTTTTTAAGCGTTTCGTTAAAAACTTTTCAGAGGTTCTGATTACTACAAATTTTATCACGCCATGGAAAAGCATCACAGTTAGTTACTAGACTAGACTAGTCAAAGACTGCTTTTCAGCAAGAATGTTTACAACTTTTGGTGGGTTTTTGATGATTAGCGTTTTAACACAGTGAAAAAAGAGACGGGTTTTCTCTATTTTCTTTAAATATTAAAGTTTTAAAAAATGTGGAAAGCACGAGGGGTAAAAAGGTCATTTTTACTCCAGATCCTCCCCCCCCCCCCAAAACCGTTTTGTCTCCTCCACTCCACGTGTTTGTGGTTTGTGGGTGTCTGTCGTCGATTCCCCTCTCCAGTTTTCTTCTGTATCAGAATGGCCACTCGATCTCTTCCTTCTCTTCTGCAACTTCAAGTGCAAATCCAGTCTTCTCCATCCTCTTTAAATTCAGGGCCATCGTTTAATTTTCTCACCCTTCCCCACAAGAACCCCAAAAGGAGGAGACAGCCACCAAAGGGTTTTCAGAGATCGGCTAATTTGATCGTACACCCCACCAATTCCCTTCTCTTCCTTGGCCGGTTCGACGGCTCTATCATCAACACCCAAACTTTTATCGTCACCTTCAGTCTCTTCGCTGCTATTGCCCTCTCTCTCTCCCTCGGCCTCAAGGTGATCATTTTCTTTCTATATATATATATATGTATGTATGTATGTATGTGTCGGCAGTAGTGAAATCAAATTCGTTCACAAAGACGTTTAGGAATGTGTATGGTATCATTATCCCATGGTAATCATTCAATTCAGTAGTATCACGGGGCCTCCGGTCCGGAATTCGGATGTGAAATCGAAACGTTAGTATTTTGTTTTGCTGAACTATCAACTATGTAATCAAGAAAATGTTGGGTTGAGCTTTTGTGGATTTAAAAATAAAATAAAATAAAAAAAGACGAATTAAAGTCTGGAAGTTGTGTCGCCTGGGTGGTGCTTATCCACTTGGTGTTCTTTCCGTTAGATGAAATAGACCACAGTTTGGTTATCTAAACAAGCAATGGTGTTGAAACAAGCTTTCTAATCGTAAACTCGTCCGGAAGAGAGAGAGAGAGAGAGAGAGAGAGAGAGAGACTAGTTTTTTGTTCAGCTCAATACACACGTGTGAGATAGATACAAGCGGGCGAATCTTCATATACTAACTGCATATATAACTACACTGTATATGTATGCATATATACCCTGATCCGATATACTATGCCATTGCTTTGTCCTTGCTCTGATGGTTATCTTGCTCTTTTCTTTTCCGTCAGGGTGACCCTGTTCCCTGTGAGAGTTGCGGCGGAAATGGTAAAAATTCCTCCATATAATTCAGTCCTTCCATTCCTTCATCCGTCTCTTTAGCATTTATATGTTACAGTTTGCAGACGATGATTGAACCTTAACCTTATATTCATACATCGGATAGCTTTAGCCCCATGGGATTTTGAACCAACAGTCCATAGTCTGTGTGTGTTTGTGAATAGACAAAAACAATATCTCCTTCATCAGTTCCCTAAAGATTCAATAGTCTTCCTGCTTTGTTAAGACAGTCTCTGAAACAGAATTAATTATCTCTATCTCCCAATCTTCTTCGTATCGAACTACTAAGCCTAACTGCTCGAATGCATTATGTCTTGTCCCCGGGAAAGAAATTTTATGCATTCTTCTCGTGCTATGACTTTCGGAAATCTCACCGATATGCACAAACTTGATATGTGTGTGTGTGTATGTATGATGTTAGTAGGCATGTAAGATGACTGAACCCTCAACAAGTCGAAAAACTGATGTAATATTTCTGAGTGTCGTTATACGTATATATATATATACATGCATGTAGGCGGAACGAAGTGCGTTTTCTGCCAAGACGGGAAGATGAAGATGGAATCCGGCGTCGTAAACTGCAGAGTCTGCAAAGGTTCAGGTAAAATATACCACCATTCTCCTCTCTCTATATATATACACACACAACTGTTCCATATATATACATATGAATATGTATGTATGTATGCATGTATGTATTGGTTTTTTGTGGTGTAGGTTTGATATTCTGCAAGAAGTGTGGAGGTTCCGGTTACTCTCGCCGTCTATAAGGTTCCCTCAAGTCATTGAAGGTCTCTTTTAACTATTAATCTCCTTTTAGTTTCTCTCTTTTTTTACAGCTGAAACACCATTTACTTATATATATATATATATATATATATATATATGTGTCTTTATTTATATACATCCATTATTTACCCCCATTTTGATCTATTATTCGGACATTTGCATTTTATCGAATTTTAAATTATAATATTAAGATGTTCGGACATATATATATATATATTGATATCTCGTATTGGATGACCATATATTTTGTTACAGTGAACCTTTTCTTTCTACATCCGATTTTCTGTCCAACTAACCAAATTGCCAATAGAATATCAGAGGATATAGCTTTGTTGTCAGTATTAGGTTAAGTATTTGCCACCACATTTCAAGTTTCCAACAGGAAGACATTGGAGATTATTGTATATTAAATACTATATTCGATTATTTTACCAGTCCACTGAATTTTTTTTTAAAAACTTTGATAATATATATATATATATATAAAGTTATGGTTCCCATCGATAACCGATTAAAATGTAAAATAACTACGTTTTTAATATATTTTTGCGATTAGTTTACCAATCATGTAACACTATAGAAATGTATTTATTATCTACCATAAGATTAAAATTCTCCGAGTGTTTAAAAGGAAGATTATCAGCATTAGCCACGTGTATCAAGTCTATTGGTCCAGTGTTCAGAAAAAGGTTAAAATAAAGAGGCCCAACGTTCGAGAAAAAACTCAAAAGCTCAACGGTCCGAAATTTCAAAAATTCACACTAAATCTCAATCGTCCATCAACACGCTCCCATCACCGTCCGATCATCGTCTCTCCCCTTAGATCTAAGTTGCTTCTCTATTTCCCCCTTTTCGAAAACCAGTTTCAAAAAAACTCTCTCTCTCTCTCTCTCTCTCTCTCTCTCTCTCTCTCTGCAAAAAATTTCTGGATTCCCTAAACACGATGCCATTCATCACGGAGACGGCGAGCGCAATCAAGCGCCGGTTCGGATTCAATGACCGATCGGTGTCGGAAACCGTACGGCCTGTGCCGTGTACGCCGGATATCAGTACAGTCGCGAGAGAGAACCACTCTCAGTCTCTCGCTGTCACTTCAGCGATTCGAAGCATGGGCGATTTGGATGAAGAAGGTACGAGTTGCGATGGATCTGTACAGTTGTCGCGGTCTCGGAGCTTCGAATTCAACGAGGACCCGTCGTTTTGGAAAGACCATAATGTACAGGTATGATAATTTTTCATTTTTGGTGGCGGATGGATTTATTCTGAATTAGTCTTGACAGTGGATTCGGCATGTGTTAGATAGCTAGTGGCTGAATATGAAAGCTCGTGGACGGTTGTATTTGTATGTTAGTGCTGATTATTCATTTAACAATTGTTTTTCAGTTGATTAACTCTTCAAATTTACGGAACAAACCAATTGACGAAAAGTGAGTTGGGTTTGGAGGGGAGAATCTGTATGAGAGATTAGGCTCTGTTAATTTTTTCCCTTGGATGACGAACTTAGCTGTGGAAATGGTATCATAAACTGGGTTTGGAAAAAATCACGCTTTCATTTGACACAGTTTTGTGTTTCTAACTTTCTATGATGATTGGTGGGGCTGAAGTGGGGATTAAGGCATCTTTCTGCTCTTGTTGAACATAGGTTGTTATAAGAATCCGTCCGCTCAGTAGTTCAGAGGTATCTCTTCAAGGTCAAAACAAGTGTGTCAGGCAAGAAAGTGGTCAGACAATCACTTGGACTGGGCATCCGGAATCTCGTTTCACCTTCGACCTTGTTGCTGATGAATACGTTACTCAGGTTCCGTTTTTCCGACCTGTGCCCATTTTGTCTTCCACTCTTTCAATTCAAGTTTGTCTCTGAGATGTTGCTTCTATTTGTTCAAACAGGAGAAGCTTTTCAAAGTCGCTGGAGTGCCCATGGTGGAGAACTGTGTAGCTGGTTATAATAGTTGCATGTTTGCATATGGCCAGGTGAGCTAAATGAACATGCATTTGCCAGTTAGTTGCATGCTTGCCTTGTGCCTCCAGAATGTATTTGGTTAGATTTTTGGCTGTACTAATTTTTGGTGTGGAATTTAATAACTCTTCATTTACAGACCGGAAGTGGGAAAACTCACACTATGCTTGGAGATATCGAGGGGGGAACACGTAGACACAGTGTCAACTGCGGGATGACACCTAGAGTTTTCGAGTATATGTTCTCAAGGATACAGAAAGTATGCTGCTTGAGTTCTTTTCATCTTTGCATATGATTTTTCTCTGTAAATGGTTGTTTCTGATGCTGTTTATGTGTCTTTGACATGTCAGGAAAAAGAGACTCGTAAAGAAGAAAAGTTACGCTTTACTTGTAGATGCTCATTTCTGGAGATCTACAATGAGCAAATTCTTGACTTGTTAGATCCATCATCTAACAATTTACAGGTGTGTCATCATTGCTTTTTTTCCTCTTTTGATTTTATCCTTTAGTCTGCGAAGACTTGAGAAAGAAACCTTGTGAAAATTTGGATTTCGTAAAAGGTGTTGTTTTCTCTAGTACTAATCAACTTAGGTTTTAGTACCTGCTTTTACATTGATAAGGCATTTAAGCTTGTTGAGGATATAATGATCCTGAACGTACAACCAAATCTTTTTCACATTACTAAAACTTAATACCTGGGCTCTCTTGCAGCTGAGGGAAGATAATAAGAGAGGTATTCATGTTGAGAATCTCAAGGAGATTGAAGTCACAAGTGCCAGAGATGTGATTCAACAACTACTACAAGTAATTAATTTTGTCTAATACCACTTTCATTATTTTTAGAGTTTCTATGTTATTCTCTGCTGAGTTCTTAATTCTGACCTGCTTCTTTGAATTGGACCGTCTTTCCATTCACACAGTGAGTCAAGTTCTTACAGTAAATTGTGAAATCATGACATACTGTTCTGCATAGAAAAAGATAAAGGGATAGTTTAATAAGAATAGTTGAGGTTATAAACAACGTTTGAAACTTGTGTTTATAAACAATGCATGGAAAAGTTTAATGAGACTATTTTTTTTAACTCTTGCATTTTATTTTCTTTTATTTACTGCCTTTTTATTTATTTATTACATACTCTTTTCGCTATCGAAGTAGATGACACAAGAATTAGTAGATAAAATCGTTTTAATTCGGAACTACAATTTCAGAGAGATTGATTGGCTTTTTTTTTAATATATATATAGGGTGCTGCAAACAGGAAAGTAGCTGCCACTAACATGAATCGTGCAAGTAGTCGTTCTCACAGTGTGTTTACCTGTGTAATCGAAAGCAAGGTAACTAAACCTTCGAAATGATCATTGTGCCCTCTTATTGATTGCTTTGGTAAGAATAACCTGAGCTCTGGCTTTTATTAGTGGGAAGCTCAAGGTGTAACTCACCACCGGTTTGCACGACTTAACCTTGTTGATTTAGCAGGATCTGAGAGGTAAATACATGCTATAATCTCATTCTTTTTCTGCGTTATTCTCCATTTTTCGTTGTATGAAGACATTGCTCTAATTTCTTGCATCTGGGACTGTAGGCAAAAGAGTTCAGGTGCAGAAGGCGAACGCCTCAAGGAAGCTACTAATATTAACAAGTCTCTTTCTACATTGGGGTGAGAAATCTTGTTTGAAATCATTAAATGATCTTAATCTGTTGGGTTTTTTTTTACTATTTGCTAATATCCTTACTTTTACCGGTTTGCAGGCTTGTAATTATGAACCTTGTCAGCGTTTCCAATGGAAAATCTGTTCATGTTCCCTACAGAGATTCAAAGCTGACATTTCTGCTTCAGGTAAAAACTCGTGCTAATGATCAGAATTAAACAAGTTTCTGTAAACGTATGTGAAGCATCCGACACATTTCACATTGTTCCTTGCATTATGTTGAATTCTACTTCCTATGTATGTTCCTTGCTCATCAATTGTATTGATCAATGACAATTTGTTGATGCATTGTATGTAGGATTCTCTTGGAGGGAACTCAAAGACAATAATAATTGCTAACATAAGCCCATCTACCAGGTAAATTGATGTTTTTCGAAGTATTATTGATATTTTGGTTGGGCACATGTCTCTTTTGTTTGTGAATATCACAGAACTAACTTCACATATTGCTCTGTTTCAGTTGCTCGTTGGAGACACTAAGTACGTTAAAGTTTGCACAGCGTGCCAAGCTCATCAAGAACAATGTAAGAAAGTATTGCTTATTTTTGCTGATGCGAAGAAAAAAAATCCTAATACTGCATGAAATTAATATCATTCTATTCAACAGGCAATAATCAACGAAGATGCATCTGGGGATGTTATTGCTATGCGACTGCAAATTCAACAGCTTAAGGTAAATCTTCTCTCGCCAAAACAAATGAAATCTGAATCAGGCAGTTTTTACTTCGCTACCATGTTTGCAAGACCTTGTTGTGTTCTTTTGGATATGGCCTTAACGTTGCAAAATGTTTCGGCAGAAAGAAGTATCTCGTTTAAGAGGCTTGGTTAATGGTGGTGGAGGAGAGAATCAAGATGCTGACACTGTATTAATGAGCTATCATGGTTCGCCAATATCTCTCAAGTGGGATGGGCTCGATGGATCTTTCAGTCCACTGACAACTCATAAGAGAATGACAAAGGTTTGTCAATGTTTCTTTCATTAAGAAGTTTCCCTAAGGTCACTTTCTTTGGGAATTTATAGAGTGTTCCATCATTGATCCGTTTCTTCATACCATTTTTCACTTGTACCGATTTGTAGGCAAAAGATTATGAAGTTGCACTTGTTGGCGCTTTCAGAAGGGAGAAGGAAAAGGACACTGCTTTGCAATCTCTGGCAGCTGAAAATGAGGCTGCATTGCAGTTGGTATGCTAATAATAAATTTCACACTTCAGTTTTAACACATAGCGGAAAGTCTGAGGATATTGGTAGCTTGTATGCATCAGCATTACATAGCATAAAAGAAGAATATTTTATTCGTCAGCCACCATGATCGCATGTATAAACTATTGAATTCAACAAAATTTTCTCTGAACAGGCAAAACAGAGAGAGGATGAGATAAGAGGACTGAAAATGATTCTGAAGCTCCGAGATTCAGCAATCAAGAGGTTGGAAGCTGTTGCTTCAGGGAAGATTTCTGCTGAGACACATTTGCAGAAAGAAAAGGATGATTGTTTGAAGGAGATCGAGGTGCTTCGAGCTAAGGTTAACCGAAATCAGGAAGTTACCAAATTTGCAATGGAGAATTTGCGACTGAAAGAAGAAATTAGAAGGCATGATCTTCCCTATTTCTCCCTCAGCATGAAACTTTGGAACTTTTTGTTGGTTAAATTATAAAATTTTGAACCATGCAGGTTGAAGTCTTACTGTGAGGAAGGTGAACAGTATATCATGAACGAACAGATTAAAGTCTTACAAGATAAGGTAAAATATCTTGATCCTTGGTGACCTCAAAATTCTTAGGGTTTGAATTTGCATGTAATCATTTCTTGATCCATCTAACAGCTGCTACAAGCTCTTGATTGGAAGCTGATGCATGAATCAGATTCCTCTACGCTGAAAGATCGTAATGGTGGTAATCTGCTAATCTCAAATGAGGTACTTTGGCTTATGTTCCTCTTCTACTAATATTTTGGCACGTTTGTTTGTGTTCCTACTGTGCAAGTGAGTTGCAACGGTTTTACAACCATGAACCGTTTTGGTCTATGGAAATTTGATATTGTTTTTTTTTTTTTGCAGAATCAAGATTCGAAGAAACTTTCTTCTCTCCTGGATGAGAATGAATTCCTCCGGTTGCAGGTAGGTCTAATCTGTACAAAAAGAAAAAAGACATTCGGGCCTGGTTAATCCTTAGAAATTTCTTGGTACATTGCCTTCTTTCGCCTGTACAGGCTATCCAAAGCCGAGCAGAGATGGAAGCTCTCGGGAAATCACTAAGCCGTTCCCTTGAAGAGAAAGAGAGATTGGAAAAGTAATGCATATCTTCTTTATACATGGGCCTTCTTCTGCATATCCAATATCTTTCCTTCTTCCAGTGCCTAATATGATGCTCCTTTGCTAGGTGTGTCGAGGGTTTGGTTAAGGAGCTAGAGGAATTAAGATCTTCAGGAGCTGGGGATGTTTCCCGAGCCGACGCATCTGCCATCAACTTGGGCGACGACCAAATGGAGGTTAAAACAATGGTTGAAGCCATTGCTTGTGCAAGTCACAGAGAAGCTGAAATTCGTGAAAAAGCAATCAAGTTGTCGAAAGAGAATGATGAACTACGGCGGAAAATAAAGGTTCTGATCGAGGATAACAACAAACTCATAGAACTATATGAACAAGTAGCTGCAGAAAACAACTCCTCCAGATCTTCGGAGAAAACTGAGGGTGGGCCTTCAGATAGTAGTGAAGAACAGAACAACGTTGAAATGGGTCGTGAGGTTGAAGAAAATGGGGTGGAACTGAAAAAACAGGTTGAAAACCTGGAGAACCAGCTTACCGAGATGCACGAGGAGAATGAGAAGCTAATGAGTTTATACGAAAATGCCATGAAGGAAAGGGATGAATTCAAAAGGTTGATTTCTTCTCCTGGACATAACAGAACCGAGAAAAAAGAAGTTAGCTGTCCAGAGAAACTAGTTGAGGTTGATGGCGAGACATGTGTTCCCATGTGCATCGAGGATGAAGAAGATTCAGTCGAGGAGGTTATTTCTGACCGTAGGGAGAATCCCGATTCCGAGAAACAATTCCAGACTGATGAAGAAACTAAAGAAAACTGTCCTGATGTAGAGTCCAATCAGGCAAACCAAGAAACTCGGGTCGAAGTCTGTGGTTCCTCTGACACTGAAATGAAGCCTTGTGATCTTCATTCTCAAAAATTCTGGGCAGATGTAGAAGCTGCGAGACTGAAACTCGAAGTGGCAGAGGAAAAGCTCTCGGACTCTGCAGATGCCATTGCGGGTTTCTCATCGCTCGAAAGAATTGTTCTTGAAATCAACAGACTGACAAAGCAAATTGAAGAGGCTGAAGAAAAAGTTAGAGAACACCAGAAGCAATTAGGATCACTCAAACTTGTATCTAAAGAAACGGAAGTGAGAAAAGCTCGTGCCGAGAAGAAGTTATCAGCTCTGAGGTACTCATTGACGAGTTTGGCTTCATCCATAGCTTACTTTGAACAGAGAGAATCACGGGCAAGAGCTCGGGTCAATGCCTCGTCCAGTCATTTGAACCAGAAGAAAGAAGAAATCTCCGTTCTTCGATCTTGCAAAAAGGAAATCGACGCTTCTCTGGGCAGAATCCAACAATCCGAGGCCGAACTCAAAAGCAACATCGTAATGCTGAAAGTAAAGATCGAAGAAGAGAACCGAAGGCACGAGGAAGAAGAGAAAGTTCTCTTTGCAATAGATAACATAGAGAAAATCAACACTCCTCAGAAAAACACTCTGCTCACAGGAAAAGCCTTAGACTTGCTGAAATCCGAGGAGGAGAAGACAAAGCTGCAAGCAGAGACGAAACTTTCCCGGGAAAAACTCGGCTCAGTCAGGAAGGAACTCGATGAAATGATCAAGAAATCGTCAAAGCTCGAGACCAAGATCCAAACAGCGGAAATCGAAATAGAGAGAGCTTCAAAGGCATTGGAAGAATTAGAGCTGGCATTGCAGAACACAATCCAAGAGGAACAAGCTCTACATGAGATGGTAGAACAAGGGAAGTTCGAGACAGAATCAACGATCCTCGAGGTTCATCAGCTCGTTTTCGAATCGGATTTGAGTGAAAACGAGAAAATCATCGTGCAGGAAGAGATTAAAGCCACGGAATTCGCGATCAAAGATATGCAGAGGGCTCGGGCCGAGACAATGAAACAAGCATTGGTAGCATTGGAGGAGAACGGTTCAGACAAGATACGAGGAGAGGTAGAGAATGTTTTGAGCTGTGTCCTTGAAGCGAAGTCGTTGCTTGATGAATCTGATCTATGATTTCAGTTTATTCAGGAAGCATATCACTTCCTTGCATTTGGTTAAAAATCATTGGAATTTGGTTGTGTTGTAAACAGTATTTTTATTTTTTGTAGTTCACAAATTTCCGTATGCAGTTGGATATTAAATTTAGCATTTAATATGTTGATAGCTAACTGATTTTATTTTATTTTATTTTTTTGTCACAAAAAATATTTTATTAGATTTACCTTAAGAATATATGTTTTGTTTCACGGGAAATAAAGAGAGAATTTGAAGCTCTCAATTTTCTCTCTGCATGCGGCCATGTATGTATGCACTTGCCCTTGGCCTAAAGGAAAAGCGAAGGACTAAGGGTAAAATCGTCATTTAGCAAGTGCGATCACAGTTGGACTCTTGGAAGGAAAGAGGGGAAAGCTTTCTGAGGGTAAAGTTGTCATTTCCGTTACAACGCAGGCGTATTCGGTCGGTCTAATTAGGAGTGCTGTGACGAATTGATTGTAACGCCGTGTATAATAAAACCCAGAGACTTCTTTTTCCCCTTCTTTTTATATCGTCCAATCTCATCGTTTGAAAATAATTTAAAAAAAAAAAGTTTTCTATTTCGAGTTTCGCATTCTCCTCGATCCCCGAATCCCATTATTCCGAATCGAAATTTGACGTATCTCGATTTCGATTCAGATTCCAAATTTTTCTAGGTTTCGGTTGAATTCGTGCGGAGGTCTCCTGTTTTCGATCTGAATCAGTGAAGCGTAGAAAGCTTGGAGGGAGGGATGTTTAACGGGATGATGGATCCTGAGATGATTCGGCTCGCTCAGGAACAGATGAGCCGTATGTCGCCTGCTGATTTTGCTAGGATCCAACAACAGGTCTCTACACTTTTTTTTTTCTTCTTAAATCTGAATTTGTAGATCCCGAAGTCTTACATGTTGTCGTTAGATCGTGACGTTCGATTATTTTTTCATACACAAGTCCTCTCTGCAAGTTGGGTATTATTTTTGCGTTTTGCCTTCCGTCAATGTGTTTCTGAAGTCATGTTTCCTTGACCATGACAATTAGATTTGATTAATGCTTCTATTTTGATGCCTTTTTCCACGATTCGTCAACCGGATGCGTCCGATTCTTTTTTGAATTGCGATGTGCTTTCGTCACTTTCAGCGTTTTCTCTCATGTCGAAAGAAATTCATAATTTAGCCTCGGAAAATAGAGGGCGGATTGTCTTAGACCATGGTGTTAAGTAGTTTATCTGAATTTGGGTTACAATGAGCTGAACGTGGTTCCGAGATTCTTGGAATTCGTTTAACAGGATATGAGAAGAAAAAGAGAAGCTTCAGTTAAAAAAAATGGTTTTTTAATGATCACAGTGTAGAGCTATGAGGGTAAAACATGACTGGATATTTGGAATGTCCTTTTCTCAAGGTGTTTATAAACGATTACTCTTCTAGTTTACTGAAAGATTTTATGCCTTTGGTGTTGCAGATGATGTCTAATCCTGACTTGATGAAAATGGCAACTGAAAGTATGAAGAACTTGAGGCCTGAGGACTTGAGACAAGCTGCTGAACAGCTGAAGCACACACGCCCAGAGGAGATGGCTGAGATAGGCGAGAAGATGGCAAAAGCATCACCTGAAGAGATAGCGGCTATGCAAGCTCGTGTTGATGCTCAATTTACCTACCAAATAAATGCAGCTCAGATGTTGAAGAATCAGGTACTCTATTCTTCAAGATATTGATCTTTGTACTTGTCTCTCCAAGTCATCACATGCTTTGGGATCTGGTTAAAACCAAACAATACAGAATAGTTTACCAAACAAATATGACATAAAGTGGAGAAAATGAAGGGCTCCAGCAAGTGGAACTCGTGTCTTTAGTTGTAGTTGGATAAGGATATTGTAATATTTTCCTGTAGGCTACTTTGTCATGTGTTTTGTTTTACTTGTTGTACCGTAGTCGGACGGGACTACAGGAGTACAGGGTATGGGTTTTCTTGTGGATTTATATACCCCATTCTTTAGGTGGGAGAAAAACGTGGTCTTTTATCTGTTATCCTTAGCAACCAAAGGTTGATGGACGTGGATGAGATTTAGAACATTTTAAGTTGAATGTTCCTGTCACATTTTTTATTTGCCCTTGTATTTTTCCGACCAAGATTTCAAACTTATTTGCATAGTTATATATCTGTGACTTCTGTTGTTTTTTTCCTGTAGAAACGCATTAGCATCATATGATGCGGCAGAGATTAATTTCATGTGTAGATTCATGTTTGCTTTTATTTTCTGGCAGGGAAATGAGCTTCACAGCCAAGGAAGATTCAAAGATGCTGCAGAGAAATATTTACGTGTAATGCTATATTTGAATTCTTCATCATGTTACTTCGCATTGTACTCAGTTTACTATCAATAAGAGTTCTCTATGTTGAATATGCCATATCTTTCCACTTTTCTAACAGTGCTCCTCTTACCATATTAGGCAAAAAACAATGTGAAGGACACTCCATCTTCGAAAGGCAAAGCACTTTTGATGGCATGCTCTCTCAATCTAATGTCATGTTATTTGAAAACAAAGCAGTATGAGGATTGCATAAAGGAAGGCTCTGAGGTATGTTGTTCATCGTATATTCATGAAGGTTTGAAAATTTTGAACCTGTATATTTTCTGGAAAACAAGAAGAGAAAAGTTTTTTTTTGGCTCTTTATATGTCAATTAAATTCATAATAAGTTCTTTACAGTTATCTAAGATCAACTCATTCCAGTCTTTGCAGTTTTTTGATGAAGTTACATGTTAATATCGTTTCAGGTTTTGGCACAAGAAGCAAGGAATGTCAAAGCCCTCTACAGGAGGGGTCAAGCTTACAAAGAACTAGGCCTGTTTGAAGTGAGTTTTTTCTACCGGACTTTGAAAGCTTCCTCTGAGATGCATTGTTTATATATGTGTGTGCATATATATGTACCAGTGTTTGCATGAAAATAGTCTAAATAGATATTTCGTCATCTGTTTGCTTGTTTTGTCTCTACTCACTTGGCTTTTCAATACTGTAAGGATGCTGTTTCCGATCTGAGCAAGGCCCATGAAGTTTCCCCTGACGATGAGATGATTGTCGATGTGCTAAGGTCTGGATTTTAAGCTTCCTTATCAAAACTAACTAGACATTATGAACCGACATAATTTTTTGTATTCTCAACGATGCAGAGATGCTAAGGAAAGATTAGCTACGGAAGGCCCTGGCAAGGTATCAAGAGGTATGGTTTTTTCCTCTGAGCAGTGCTCTTGGTATAATTTATTTTCCTCAGATTGGGCATTTCTCGGTTGCATGGAACATTTGCTTTCTCTGTGATTCCTTAAAACAATTGAAAATATTATTATGCTGTTTGCTTGATAGGGGTGGTTATCGAAGAAATTACTGAAGAGGAGGTTGCTACGTCAGTAGAAAATTTAAGTTCCTCGGCAAATGTTTCTGTGAGACAGCCCGAAAGTATACCTGCCTTTCCAATGAACACAGCTATGGCCAATGATCAGGGATTGAAGAAAAATGTCGAGAGCTTGCAGGCTCTTAAAGATGACCCAGAAGCAATCAGGTTCTACACCGTTCCAAATCACTGTTTAGATATTTTTCTCTATCTCTTTCTCCTGATTTCTCGCAAGGACCAAATTTTCTTTTGACAAAAAATTAAGAAGCATTTTTCTTGGTCATCATTGTCTCTGCAGTATATATATCTGAATTTTTCATATATCTTTCCTTTTTCTGTTTTCCTTTCGTGGGCCTGCAGATCATTCCAAGATTTCATTTCAAGAACCGATCCTGATACACTTGCTGCTATGAGCGGTGGAAAAGCTGGAGAAATGTCACCTGACATGTTTAAGACCGCCTCAAGTATGATTAGCAAAATGTCACCTGAGGAGATTCAAAAAATGGTTCAATTAGCCTCTTCGTTTCAGGGAGAAAATCCTTCTTCGAGCGTGCCATCAGTAGAAAACGGGTTTACACCCACGCCCGACATGCTTAAAATTGCATCCGATATGATGAACAAGATGTCACCAGGAGAGCGGGAACGGATGTTTGAGATGGCTTCGTCTTTGAAAGCAAAGGCTCCATTTTCGGCATCTCCTGCTTCCGATACTCAAAGACAGAGATCAAACAATGATGCAGGATCACAAGGGGAAAGTTCATCTAGTTCTTCGGGTAATACCTTTACGGGTCTGGAATCAACCATTCCTTCATCACCTGCTGACTTACAGGATCAGATGAGGAACCAAATGAAAGATCCAGCAATGCGGCAGGTCGGTTGGGTTCATTTTATGTTTCCGGATGCTTGCTTTATTTCACCAGAAACTGTATTCTATGAAGGAAGCAAAGAATTAGTAATGGGTTTTAATTTTATAAAATGGGCAGATGTTCACATCTATGATAAAGAATATGAGTCCGGAGATGATGGCAAGCATGAGTGAACAGTTTGGGATGAAGCTTTCTCATGAGGATGCTGCAAAGGCTCAGCAGGCAATGGCGTCTCTCTCTCCTGAAGACTTGGACAGAATGGTATCACCTCTCTCTCTCTCTCTCTCTCTCTCTCTGCCATTGTTATAACTGGTATCTTTGTGTTTCTTGGGGGGAAAGATGAGGTGGGCGGATAGGGCACAGAAAGGGATAGAGAAGGCGAAAAGGGCAAAGAATTGGTTGCTGGGGAGAGGAGGGTTGATATTTGCGGTGATGATGCTCCTTTTAGCAATTATCCTCCATCGCCTTGGATACATTGGCAGTTAGTATCATCTACTCCTCCTGTTCTGTCTCCCAAATCCCTAATTTGGCCAGAATCCACAGGTTTGAACTTAACTTAAAGAGGTTCGTTCTCTTCTGTGTAAAAGACCAAACCCTTTCCTTTTTGTTATGCTCATGCTTATGTAATCTCTCTTTTGTTAAGAGCTTAAAAAAAATATAACTTTTTTTTTTGGTCAAAGTTGTGGAAATGTGTTATTTACATTAAAAAAAAATGATTATTCTTTTTTTGTTCTGAATCTGATGTTGATGAACATCTGTCTGTAGATGCGTGTGTGTGTGTGTATATATATGTTTTATCTATTTTATCCTCGTGGATAAATTGTTCATAACAAAGTTGGCATTTTAGGGATATAAAAGAGGAATAAGAGAGGCACAAACAAATTAATTCTGATGAAAAAGTGATTATAATCATCGAAAGTTGGAGGAAAAAAATGGTGGTGTGTATTTTGAATTTCGTTTTGGTTTTTTGTAAACTATACCATATGTTTTTGGTTTCCTATTTCACATCATTTTCCTAAATATTTATCTCTAAAAATTTATTTCCATATTACTTATTTTAATTATTTTTATATTCTGATTAATATAAATTATAATTTATTTCGATTAATTTAAAATTAATTTATTGATTTTGTTTACCTTATTTTAGATTTGATTTAGTTTTTGATCGCCAAACTAATCATACAGCTAGAAAAGTTAAAAGTTAAGAAGAGGATACGTGTCCCGAACACAGAAAAGTGGGGCCCTTCTAGACCTCTGAGGAGGTCTCGTCTTTCGGTAAATTTTCCCCAAAAATAAATAATTTATTAATTAAAAATAGGAAAAAAAATAAAACAAGTCGAGACGGAGAAAAGTAAAACGAGCGCACCAAAAGAGGACCCTCATCTCATCTCCTTATTCTCTCTGCGTAATCTCTGGGGAATCTAGGGTTTATTCCTTCCTCTTTAACCCCTAGGTTCCTGATCGGATTGCTCATCCAGTTCTTCGATCTCGCAGCTCGCTGCCTGACTGATTCATCGTGACTTTCGATGGAGGTTAGGGTTTTCTCTCTTCTTTCTTCTCCCTTTGAATTTTGCTCTCGGTGGTGTATGAACCCAGAAATTTCCTGGAATTCTGTTTATTTTGATCAACGATTTCGATTGTCGGCGCTGTTACTATCTTTGATTCTGTCGTTATGGTGGGATTCACGGAAACTGTCAATTTTGAACCCAATTCTGTGTGATTCCTTAGGGTTTAGGATAATGTCATTTTCAAGATTTTGTGCTCGTTTGTTTTTTTTCCTTTTGCCACCGTAATTCGCGGACTCGAAAGGGTTTGGGATTTATGGTATCCGTATTGAATTGACACCGTGATTCTCGATTCCCATATGTGTTTTGGAATTTCCATGTGATTGAATCACGGGTTTACGGATTGTGGAACTCACTGTATCGAATTTACAGGGAGTGGTGGAGGAGGATGCGAAGACCGAAGCACACATGACCTCCGCCGCAGCTTTTGTCGAAGGAGGCATCCAAGATGCCTGTGATGATGCCTGCAGCATATGTCTGGAAGTCTTCTGTGACAGCGATCCTTCAACGGTGCGCATGTCGTTGTCTTTGTTCAGTCACATTGGACAAATCTTTATCTGCTTTTCTTCTTATCTTGCAGGTGACTACTTGCAAGCATGAGTACCATCTTCAGTGTATACTTGAGTGGTGAGCTCATTTAAGGCTCGGGTTTTGACAGTTTATGTTTAACTAATGATATGTTTGCTTCATAATTGGGATGAGAATCTAGGAATGTTATCTAACAAAGCTCAGAGAGATTTCCAGCTAACTTGTGCAATTTCTATGCTTTTACGTAAACTTTGTAGGTGTCAGAGGAGTGCACAGTGCCCGATGTGTTGGCAGCCCATCAGCCTGAAAGACCCTACCAGGTTAATTTTGTCTTCGTTTGATCCATTTTAGTCATTATTTTTGTTGGTCTGATACACCTTGCATGCTCGATGGAGATATCAGTTATGTGCTCTTCTATGTTTCAGTCAGGAGTTACTCGAGGCTGTTGAGCGCGAAAGGAGTTTCCGTTTCAATCCATCAAGAAACGCCACTATATTCCGTCATCCAACTCTCGGAGATTTTGAATTGCAGCATGTTGGTGACTCTCCCAATATGGTGGACGCTGATTATAGCTCTTCTTTGCTTGTGAAATAGTAAATAGTTGCTTGACGTTTCTATAATGTCCTCCAATGCAGCTTCCCATTGGGGTGGACAACGCAGAGATTGAAGAACGGATTATTCGGCACCTGGCTGCTGCGGCTGCTATGGGGCGAGCCCGGCATGCGGCAAGAAGGGAGGGCCACAGGAGCAGGTCCTCAACTGAAGGTCATCCACAGTTCATGGTGTTCTCCTCGCATCCTAATACATCTTCCCTACCTCCTGCACACATGCCTTCCTCTCCATCTCACAGAGGAGAAGGTGAGACAGCTCCCGGTATTGTCACCAACCTGCCTCCGTCCCCACCGAATGCTTTTGGGGATGTTTCTCCACAGCTGAACACCCAGCCAGCATCTTCCTACCCCGGCTCTCCTTTACCATCTGAATCAAATGTTCTTTCTGGAAATCAACGCGGACCCATCTCCAGCAGCAGGTGTGCATATCATCTGTTGTTCTCTCTTGTTCATTGGTAGTTGATTGTCTATTATCGGCATTCATTTGTCTTATTCCATGCAGGTCTCTTAATCAATCTTCCCCTGGTGGTCAAGACACAGCCGGCCCGTCAGATCTCCAATCTTTCTCAGAATCATTGAAATCTCGACTGAATGCTGTCTCAACGAGGTACCCCTTCATTATCTGGCAGGTCTCTTAATCAATCTTCCCCTGCATATGATTTTATAGTATCTAAGTTGTTTCCCAATTACAATTTAGATACAAAGAATCGATTTCAAGGAGCACAAGGAGCTGGAAGGAGAAATTTTTCTCTCGCAACACCTCCATGGCAGATATTGGTTCAGAGGTCAGAAGAGAGGTCAATGCTGGGATTGCAACAGTATCACGCATGATGGAACGTCTAGAAACGAGAGAGAACAATAGATCTGGCACAGCCTCTGTTTCAACTGGCTCAGAGAGTAACACACCTTCCGAATCAAGTAACGAGCGTAGAACAGAAGGTGCGAGTGGTCATTCTTTGAATGAAAGAGGGGTTGAGGGCACAATTACCGTGGGTTCTGGTTCAAGCGGAACAGTGCTACAGAACCTGCATCAGAGCTAGCATCTGGCTGGAAAAGGTGAAGTTGCTCTCGTAATTTACTTACTGGTCTTACAGATTCATATCGAGTGTTGGCAATCGTGAAACAAGGATCGGTCACAATTTCTTTTCGAAGATGTCTGACCAAAATTCCTTAGGAAGAAAGTAAGACGTAGCAACTGAAGTCTGGTGCATGGAAACATCATCCTAGAGTTAGACTATTGATATATATATATATATATATATATATATA